CATCGGCGTCATCTGAATCGGAGTCATTTGAATCGGATACCATCGTCGTCATTTGAATCGGATCCGCACACACCTTTGTGTCTTATTTTTTTCTAACCATAATACACGCAATCTGATTAAAATTCAGATCTATCGGACCTCGAGTGCTTGTCGAATGAACATAAACAAAATCAGAGATCTGTAAAAATTCAGATCTATCGGAACTCGCGTGCTTGCCGAGTGAACATAAACAAAATCAGAGATCTGTATTTCAATTACATTGTAACAGACATATAACCATGTGAATTTTGGTGTGCAAATGTATGCATCTTGGTAGGGATCATTAAATGTTGAATACGATTAAGCCATTAATTTTATAGGTGATAGTAAAGAAAATACTTATGATAGATACGTGCATTCTATATAAACTTCCATCATCTTCGGAATTTTAATTGTATTGAATGAAGGATAAATACATTATGATTTTGATGTTTAGTTAAAGTACATTGTATTGATCAAAAATACACAATCAGTGGTATGATATAACTGGACCTCCTTTAATTTACTTGAGTAACATAAGCATTAAAAATTAAGTTTTCCCATTGTTTTTTTTTCAAGGCACATGAACATGACTGGCGGGGTTGAACAAGATTTTTAAGGTTCCACCCCCTTTTTTAATGTTGATATGTGCAAAATAAAAAATTTACATTAAAAACGTGAAACAAAAATCAGAACTTGGAAACTGAACACTTATATCAATAATACGGGTATAATAAAAACCACAAGAGCACACACAACAAATATAAACAATACCGCATCAAACAATACAAAATCATTCCATACAAACACTAACATACTTTGCTTCATTATCAAAATGATTTTTTTTAAAAAGACATGTTGCCAACCATCTGGCTATATACATTCTTGATACATTTTACATGATTCGACGCAGTTTGCAATCGGTTTAAGTCCCCTTACTCTTCATTGAATTTGTCATAGAGTTGACCAAGATGATTGATACAGGACTTAATATAATGGACGATTAGAATTTAAATGGTTCAGGGGCAGAATAAAGAGTGTGCACCTTCAATTCGGTAAAAACATCATTTTCGGGGGCATGAAATCCGTTAAAATAGAGATTCGCTCTATCTATTCGCCCAAAACTACGAGGGTCGGGTCCATGACCATAAATCCTGGATCGGCCCATGGTATATACCTAAATTTTTATATCTTAAAAAATGCTTTAGATTCAGTTACTCATGATATGTTCATAATGGTGCTTAATTGCATACATTGTATTTTAATATTTTCTGACAAATAGTGTGTATGGTTTAGTTCTTATTTTGACAACATAATTCAAGTTGCAAAAGAGAAGCAAATATACCGATATGTATGCAGATAATTCATCACTGATCACACCTACCGAAAGTACAGAAGAGTTGCATTTTGTGTTCAAAACAATGTTTATACTATGAAAATGGAATGGCCCTAAGCATGTGTATCCAAGATTCTTAGATTTAGACAAAAAGTTGCTAACATGTCAAATTCTCTGTTGGTGTATTTTTTAATGATATTATTGAAATTGTTCAAAGTGAAGAACTTGTAGGTGATACAATATTCACAAAAGGTTGCGTTGGAATGAACAAGTAAATTAGACAGGCTCGCCTATTTCAACGAAGACTCAATTAAATGTGAAAAATGAAGGAGAAAAAAAAATCACATGAGATAGGATTGAGAATGGAAACCGGGAATGTGTCAAAGAGACAACAACCCGACTATCAAGTAAAAAGATAAAACTGCATGGCGTTAGACGTCCAGCGCTATCCGTCATTAGTTACACAACAAAAAACGTTAACTACCAAACCAGAGGACAAGACCAAAAGACACCTCAGGATAGCGCCTGACGTCTGACCAAATAGAAGAATGGAGCTGAATAGTGAAATATGAGTTTTAGATAAATATGCCTAAAGTAATGAACATAGAGAAGTTCTCGCCCGCACACACACACTCAATTATCTTGTATATTATAAGAGCACACGCCTTTTTTTTCTTATATATAACATATCATCCATATGCATATAGTTGTACTATTTTAGTGAATGTAGCTGACATCTTGTATTGACATATAAAAATATGACATATACCGAAAAGTTCAGCCAGGGAAGTTTTAGATGAAAAGGATTGTAGGACTCTGTCTCAATGTGCAACAGCTTATTATAATAGTTTACAAATCAACCGAAACAAAAGTGTATTAACATAAATAGTAGAACATTTTATATACGTTATACATTGTAAATATTACTTACGGTCTTAACAAAATAATTATACGTTATACATTGTAAATATTACTTACGGTCTTAAAAAAATAATGACTTAAAACTTCCAATACCAAAATAAAATTTTCTGAAACAAGATTCCTTTATTCAGGATCTATCAAAGTGTAAAAAGATGTATCAGAAGAAAGTGATTTATTTTCATAACTTATTGATATAGTTTAATACATCTACATGTATAATAGCATTACATATCAGAAAATGATTTATGTTGTTATGGCGTTTGATTTGAATATTAGTTCCGTCTGTCTGTATACATTTGTTTATGCCTTTTCGAGGACCTTATGAAAGAGTAGTTTATAACTATATATGTTGATTGATTGGTTGGTTGGTTGGTTGATTGATTGATTGATTGATTCGTTTATTCGTTTATTCATTTATTTATTTTTTTATTCAATATTAAGTTTAAGTAGACTATTAAAGATAATTACAAGACGTTGCCCGTTCAACGTTCATTGGCATTCGAATCAATTGAATTTCATTCCCACTACTCATGGTAAACTATTATATATATTATGTGTTTAAGAAATTGGGACGAGGCGTACTTTGTTATCGTACCTCTTACATATTGAGACGAAGGAATTGTTTCAGAAAAGGAAAAAAATATACCATGTGACCATCAAAAACAATATGTCAAAGAAAGTCATCAACATGACCAATAGATAAACACCAGTCAGTAAACAATATGTCAAAGAAGGACATCAACATGCCCAATAGATAAACACTAGTCAATAAACAATATGTCAAAGAAGGACATCAACATGCCCAATAGATAAACACCAGTCAATAAACATTATGTCAAAGAAGGACATCAACATGCCCAATAGATAAACCCCAGTAAATAAACAATATGTCAAAGAAGGACATCAACATGCCCAATAGATAAACCCCAGTCAATAAACAATATGTCAAAGAAGGACATCAACATGCCCAAAAGATGTCAAAGAAGGACATCAACATGCCCAATAGATAAACACTAGTCAATAAACAATATGTCAAAGAAGGACATCAACATGCCCAATAGATAAACACCAGTCAATAAACAATATGTCAAAGAAGGACATCAACATGCCCAATAGATAAACCCCAGTCAATAAACAATATGTCAAAGAAGGACATCAACATGCCCAATAGATAAACACCAGTCAATAAACAATATGTCAAAGAAGGACATAAACATGCCCAATAGATAAACACCAGTCAATAAACAATATGTCAAAGAAGGACATCAACATGCCCAATAGATAAACCCCAGTCAATAAACATTATGTCAAAGAAGGACATCAACATGCCCAATAGATAAACCCCAGTAAATAAACAATATGTCAAAGAAGGACATCAACATGCCCAATAGATAAACCCCAGTCAATAAACAATATGTCAAAGAAGGACATCAACATGCCCAAAAGATGTCAAAGAAGGACATCAACATGCTCAATAGATAAACACTAGTCAATAAACAATATGTCAAAGAAGGACATCAACATGCCCAATAGATAAACCCCAGTAAATAAACAATATGTCAAAGAAGGACATCAACATGCCCAATAGATAAACCCCAGTCAATAAACAATATGTCAAAGAAGGACATCAACATGCCCAATAGATAAACACCAGTCAATAAACAATATGTCAAAGAAGGACATAAACATGCCCAATAGATAAACACCAGTCAATAAACAATATGTCAAAGAAGGACATCAACATGCCCAATAGATAAACCACAGTCAATAAACAATATGTCAAAGAAGATCATCAACATGCCCAATAGATAAACACCAGTCAATAAATAATATGTCAAAGAAGGACATCAACATGCCCAATAGATAAACACCAGTCAATAAACAATATGTCAAAGAAGGACATCAACATGCCCAATAGATAAACCCCAGTCAATAAACAATATGTCAAAGAAGGACATCAACATGCCCAATAGATAAACACCAGTCAATAAACAATATGTCAAAGAAGGACATCAACATGCCCAAAAGATAAACACCAGTCAATAAACATTATGTCAAAGAAGGACATCAACATGCCCAGTAGATAAACCCCAGTCAAAAAACAATATGTCAAGGAAGGACATCAACATTCCCAATAGATAAACACCAGTCAATAAACAATACAAAGGAATCTTAAGATTGTGCAAAACTAAAACCAATTCAGTAAGGGTACGCAATTCCAGCCCCATTGCTGACACCAGTCATGTTGTTCTTTTAAGTATAAATCTCGTTTTGAGTGAAATCGATAATGTTACAAACGAGGAAAGGTTTGTGGAAACAAATACTTAAGTTTCACGAACACAACAAAAAACCCAATAAAACAAGAAGTAAATATTAAGGACAATAACTCCAATAAAGAATCGAGAATTAACAATTTCGGACAAATGGAAAGAGTGGTAGATAATGACGTCCTGGTTGTTTTGATGTGACAATTTTTGAGATAATACCTTAAACATTATTTGATATTTATATTTTATTTTTAGCTACATCGGCCATCTTGTTTTGGTTATCGAGCATACCTCAAGGATGTGGCCTTTTAGAGGAGACATTTGTTTTCTAACTCTGAACCAGAAAGTATTGCTCCTGTTGATACCGATAATTTTAACAGACTTTTTTAATCCAAAGTCTACAAAAAATATTAACAATAACAAAACTATATATTAAGACAATCTATGTAAGTACTCACAGTAATTTGTCATGTTTGAGATATCATTCACCTTTTCTGTAGACTCATCAACACATTTGATAGATAGGCCACATTTATTCTCTTGATCGGAAATCATAGCTGACTGAAATTTGAGGCGATTTGATATCCCCTTTATACAACAGAAATATACATAATCATGATTTCAAAACCAGAATATAAAATAACAGATAAAGAAATTTGTGGGACACTAGAAAAAGGAAACACGTGACAACTGTTTTCTAATTTACATTGCTTCTAAAATGCAAAAAGCAAAAAAATCCAGAATTTTATAAAGTAACATTATTATCGAAAGTTTGCACGGGTTATTAATTTAAAATAAAATTTTCAGTTTATTAATGCACAATATAAACTTGAAAATCCTAAAAGTTTTACATGGATGATTCTTTAAGTACAATAATTATATATTGCATTTTTGATTCATATTTGATATGTGTAAGAAATCGATCTTGATTTTATTTATGGTTGAGCCTTTCTAAAGAGGAGAAAGAAAGCAGGTGTGGAGGAGGGTTTACAGAATAGAGAATAATGGGCAAAAATTATAAAGAATAGAGAAAAATGGACTAAAAAAATAAAGAATAGAGAAAAATGAGGTGCAAAATATAAAGAATAGAGAATAATGGGTAAAAAGTATAAGGAGTAGAGAAAAATGGCATAAACAAATGGGAAATGTGTCCATGGGACACAGATGATGCCCCCGCTTGCATATAACGTTATAAAGGGACATAACTCAAGAACAGTAAAAGTGACACTACCCAAATGTGTACTTGATCTGAGTTTTGTGGTTATAAGCATTGTGTATAAGTTTCATAACATTTGGTTGAGGCAAACTTAAGTTAGAGAACGGAAACGAAAATTCAGCTATTTTTCCATTTGTAAAGGGGCATAACTCTAGAACGGTAAAAGTGACGCCACCAAAAAAAATCAAACTTGATCTGTGTTTTGTTGTCATAAGCATTGTGTATAAGTTTCATAACATTTGGTTGAGGCAAACTAAAGTTAGAGAACAGAAACGAAAAATTCAGCTATTTTTCCATTTGTAAAGGGGCATAACTCTAGAATGGTAAAAGCGACGCCACCAAAATTCAAACTTGATCTGTGTTTTGTGGTAATAAGCATTGTGTATATAGTTTAATAACATTTGGATGAGGCAAACTAAATTAAGAGAACGGAAACCAATTTTGGGACGAACGGACGTACAGACGGACGGACAGACGTACAGACGGACAAGGGTAAAACTTAATGCCCACTCCGCTACGGCGGGGGCATAAAAATGAAAGAATACAGAAATTGAGACCCCCCCCCCCCCCCCCCCCACCCCGAACCCAGACCCTCATGAAAGAATGACAATATATTATTTACCTAACAATTTGTTTCAAGTAAGTTTTTCATTGCAAACCTCTTCCATAATTTTAAAATACAATCGGACCGCGAATAACCTGCCTTCTAAGACTCAAATACGTGTAGTAAATATAAAAATGAAGAGATGTGGTTTGATTGCCAAACAAAACAACTATCCACAGGACACCAGACAGACGAGGATGTAAACAATTATAGGGATCTGTACGGCCTTTAACAACGAGCAAAACATATACTGTAGAGTAATCTATAAAGGCTCCAAAGTAATAATCAATTCAAAAGGGAAAACAAATGGCCTCATTTTTTCTAAAGCAACGAACGAAACACAAATAAGACAGACAGCAACCAACGACAACCATTTAAAAAACTGGCACATACAGAAAGTGTCAGGGTAAACATGTTTGGGAGTAACTATTCCCTTACCTTGCACAACATAGGAAAAAACAATAAAAATTGATTGGAAAAGCCTTGACGCAATAGATTGGAACTAAGAAAACAAAAACACGTTTCCATAATTGTATTAAAATGATCGTAAGATGACATTCTCACGATATGCATTATGAGAAGAGAGAAGAATTGTGAATTTGTAATTACGTTAAAAATTGAAAACAACACGTTTAATAATTTCATGCGTCCGAAGCGCTTTTCTGGATTTACCTTCATCAGGAACGCTCAAAGCCAAACATTTGAAATCCGAGGATGTATAAGTACCGAAACATTTGAAGAGCTATATGACAAAAATACCTAAAACAAATAGCCAAATTCATCTAAGGTCAACTTTGTTAAAATCTGCACATATTTGATCGCTTTTTAAATATACGAAGAAACGAAAGAATATGTGAGAATGCTCATCTAGCTGTGTTGGAAGATAAAAAACATTTCCTAACTTCATGTGACAAATTTAAATCTGATAGAATTGTTCTCTGATTTTTTTTTTATAAAAATAATTCAAAATTTTTCAATACTTGACAATCAACGAACACACATTCATTTATTTAGCAGTGAAGACAATAAGGTCCTAAATGAAGTAGGAAAATTTGTTAAAGATAATTTGGTTAAGGTTAATTACATTTTTTAACTATTATTATATGGCATTGTATCGTGTATTCCTGGGACATTGATACAGCCTATCTGTCGACGTTATAGGCATTGTATCGTGTATTCCTGGGACATTGATAGAGTCTATCTGTCGATGTATTAGGTATTGTATCGTGTATGCCTAAGACATTGATACAGTCTAACTGTCGATGTAATAGGCAATGTATCGTGTATGCCTGGGACATTGATACAGTCTATCTGTCGATGTAATAGGTATTGTATCGTGTATGCCTGGGATATCGATACAGTCTATCTGTCGATGTAATAGGTATTGTATCGTGTGTGCCTGGGATATCGATACAGTCTATCTGTCGATGGAATAGGTATTGTATCGTGTATGTCTTGGACATTGATATAGTCTAACTGTCGATGTAATAGGCATTGTATCGTGTATGCCTGGGACATTGAAACAGTCTAACTGTCGATGTAATAGGTATTGCATCGTGTGTGCCTGCGACATTGATACAGCCTATCTGTCGATGTAATAGGTATTGTATCGTGTATGCCTGAGACATTGATACAGTCTATCTGTCTGTGTAATAGGTATTGTATCGTGTGTGCCTGGTATATTGATACAGTCTATCTGTCGATGTAATATGTATTGTATTGTGTATGCCTGGGACATTGATACAGTCTAACTGTCGATGTAATAGGTATTGTATCGTGTTTGCCTGGGACATATATACAGTCCATCTGTCGATATTCTAGTAATAGGTATTGTATCGTGTGTGTCTGGGACATTGATACAGTCTAACTGTCGATGTAATAGGCATTGTATCGTGTATGCCTGGTACATTGATACAGCCTATCTGTCGATATAATAGGTATCGTATCGTGTGTGCCTGGGACATATATACAGTCTATCTGTCGATGTAATAGGTATTGTATCGTGTATGCCGGGACATTAATACAGTGTATCTGTCGATGTAATAGGTTATTGTATCGTGTTTACCTGGAACATTGAAAAAGTCTTTCTTTCGATGTAATAGGTATTGTATCGTGTATGCCTTGGACGTTGATACAGTCTATCTGTCGATGTAATAGGTATTGTATCGTGTTTGCCTGCGACATTGATACAGTCTAACTGTCGATGTAATAGGTATTGCATCGTGTGTGCCTGGGACATTGATACAGTTTATTTGTAGGTGTAATATGTATTGTATCGTGTATGCCTGGGACATTGATACAGTCTATCTGTCGGTGTAATAGGTATTGTATCGTATGTGCCTGGGACATTAATACAGTCTAACTGTCGATGTAATAGGTATTGTATCGTGTATGCCGGGACATTAATACAGTGTATCTGTCGATGTAATAGGTTATTGTATCGTGTTTACCTGGAACATTGAAAAAGTCTTTCTTTCGATGTAATAGGTATTGTATCGTGTATGCCTTGGACTTTGATACAGTCTATCTGTCGATGTAATAGGTATTGTATCGTGTTTGCCTGCGACATTGATACAGTCTAACTGTCGATGTAATAGGTATTGCATCGTGTGTGCCTGGGACATTGATACAGTTTATTTGTAGGTGTAATAGGTATTGTATCGTGTATGCCTGGGACATTGATACAGTCTATCTGTCGGTGTAATAGGTATTGTATCGTATGTGCCTGGGACATTAATACAGTCTAACTGTCGATGTAATAAGCATTGTATCGTGTATGCCTGGGACATTAATACAGTGTATCTGTCGATGTAATAGGTATTGTATCGTGTATGCATGGGACATTGATACAGTCTATATGTCGATGTAATAGGTATTGTATCGTGTGTGCCTGGGATATCGATACAGTCTAATTGTCGATGTAATAGGTATTGTATCGTGTGTGTCTGGTACATTGAAACAGTCTTTCTGTCGATGTAATAGGTATTGTATCGTGTATGCCTGGTACATTGATACAGTCAAACTTCGATGTAATAGGTATTGTATCGTGTGTGCCTGGGACATTGATGCAGTCTATCTGTCGGTGTAATAGTTATTGTATTGTGTATTCCTGGGACATTGATACAGTCTTTCTGTCGATGTAATAGTTATTGTATCGTGTATGCCTGGAATACTGTTTCAATGTCCCAGACATACACGATACAATACCTATTACTAGTACATCGACAGTTAGACTGTATCAATGTCCCAGGCATACACGATACAATGCCATATACTAATACTTAAAATGTAATTAAACTAAACCGTATTATGTTAACAAAATTTTCAAAATGTCTTTTTTGTTGGGGAATGTAAAGATACGCTGCCACGTCCGGTCTGTGTTTTCGTTAGGTATTTTCTGCTTTGTAACGATATGATGAGTTAAGAACTTTTCAACTGATTATTATAGTTTTTTCTTATGTTACACCATATTCCCAAGTTAGGGGAGGGTTTGGTGCCAGCAAACTAGTATAACACCGCCACATTCTATATGTGCCTGTCCCAAGTTAGGAGCCTGTAGTTCTGTAGTTGTCGTTGGTTCATGTCTGTCATATTTGTTTTTCGTAAATTGTTTTGTTATAAATAAGGCCATTAGTTTCCACAATTGAATTGTTTCATATTTTTCATGTCGGGGCCTTTTATAGCCGACTATACGATATGGGGTTTCTCTTTGTTGAAGGCCGTATGGTTGCCTATTATTGCATACATCCACTTTATTTGAACTTTGATGAATAGTTGTCTTATTGGCAATCATACAACATCTCCTTATTTTTATAGTAAACA